AGTAAATATTTATAGGTAAAGAGGAAGAATGGATTTGTTAAATCTTAGTGAATGAATTCATAGGTAAAGTTTATAAGACGTAATAAATATTTAATTAAACAGAACGTTAAATATAATTAGCGTAAAAAGTAAAATAAAGTGTATATAATGTAAACGATAATCAAGAATCCTTAGAATGTTATTTAGACTCGAGGACAATTTATTTTACATTATGAAGTAGATCCTAGATGTTATAAAACAGATTTCCCCACTATCTTTTTTTACAGGATCTAAGCAAATACTTTGTAAAGTCTATATCGAAATGTACATTATATTGGAAAAGCTGTAACAATTTGCTATGTTTATCATGGTCACAGTGGGTTCGTGCCCCAACTAGAGGCGATAGTATACTCGATCTAATATTTAGTAGAGATGTTATCCCACTATCTGTAAAAGTATATGATGAATTTGAAAGCAGTGACCATAAGATAGTAGTTTGCGCTCTCCCTATCTATCTCTCTTATAACCTACCCATTCAAAAAACCTGTCAATACAGAGACTATAAGCATGCTGACTGGAAACTACTGCATTCATTGATTAAACTTTCAGACTGGGATAACTTTTTTTCATGTAATAGTCTCATGGATGCTATCGACGAATTCTATCTGATCATTAACTCTTGTTTAGATTCCAGTATACCTCTTAAAACGTACAGGTTTAGTAAACCTTACGAATTATATATACCAGCTAAATATCGTAATAAACTAAAACGCCTACAGAAACGTTATTTTAATTCAAACGACTTCACAGCAGTTGCACAAACAACAATAATTCTTAATCAAATTAAAGAGAAACATAGGTTAAAAGCCATTAATGAGGAGCTGTTAGCCCTTAATACTAACTCGAAAGTACAAAACTTAACTCTCCTTTTCAATAAACGCACTAAAGCAACTCGAAATGTTGATATACCGTGCATCCAGCATAATAGCACTTTTATAAACTATAACAGATCTTTTCAGTGGTATTTTTGCGAATGGTGTAGGAAGTGGCTTTGCTTCAAGAGTTATGTGCGTGACTAGCAACTCAATAAAATCGATCTCCTTAACATGCATGAAAATTAACAAGGCTATAAACACCCTTAAGCTTTCGAAAGGTTATGGAGTAGACGGGATTTCATCATTTCTCTACAAATATGGTGATCCAGATATTCCACGTCTTCTTCTAAAGCTGTTTACTCTCTCTATGGAAACCGGTTCTTACCCTTACTGTTTGAAAACCGCGTGCATCATACCACGTTACAAATCTGGAGATAAAACTGACATGAACAATTACCGGCCAATAAATATTACTCGTTATTTCTAGGATTATGGAAAAAATTATAAGTGATGAACTTTCCAACTATTTACTTGCTGGAAAATTTATCAATGATACTCAACATGGATTTCTTGAAAATCGATCTTGTATGACATGTCATTTTGACTTCTTTAATTTAGTCAATTCTCTACATATACAAGGATATCTAGTCTTAGTGCTATATCTGGACATTTCTAAAGCCTTCGACATGGTTAGCCACCAACTTCTTATAGGTAAACTCGCATCTTATGAGGTTCAAAATCCTTTGCTTGCTTGGCTTGATTCCTTTCTCAGCAATCGACATCAAATAGTTAAAATTAACTCCTCATTGTCTAACGCTGTCCCTGTTAGAAGTGGTGTAATACAAGGTAGTGTCTTAGGCTCTTTCCTTTTTTATTGTGTTTATCAATGATATTTGCGAGTTTTTGTGTGGGTAAGCCCCTTCTATACGCAGATGATCTTAAAATAGTGTATTCATTTTCTCCACATGACCTGAAAAATATGCAAAATTGCATCAGCATGGAGCTTAACAAGGTAGCACAGTAGTGCTTAAAATGGCAACTGGAGCTTAATACGGCTAAATGTGGATGGATATCCTTCGGCGATACATCACTCAACCTAGACATTACCATAAATGGAGAAGTGTTATCTAGGTTACATACAGCAATAGACTTAGGACTTAGATATTCCCAAGACTTGTCGTTTACAGAACATATATTAAAACAGACCTCTAAGTCTCAACGTCTAATAGGTTACATAACTCGAAATCTTTACAACACTGAGTCACGTATTCTAATGTATAAAGTTTGTGCTCGACCTCTTCTAGAATATTGCACGTTTATTCTTAGCAGTGCGCGCATAAAGGATAAATTAAGGCTGGAATCAGTACAGAGACGATTTACACTTCGTATTCTTGGAGCTGATTGTACCTTAACTTATAATTCTAGATGTAATAAACTTGGGCTAGACCCTTTATTGAGGAGGAGACTCAAACTAAATCTTATCTTTTTCTTCAAACTACTTCATAAACTATCGTTTACATCCGATCACGCGATTCAATATGCAGAAACCTCTCATTATGATATCCGTAATTCCTTGGCACTAGTGAAACAAACTCATTCTAAATCATCTCTTTATATGAATTACTTCACCTGTAAATTTTCTAGACTCTGGAATAACCTACCACAATCTATCCGTACGATAAAATCACTCCCATTATTTGTTCGCTGCATCGATGTATACTGCTGCTCTGAAAATGCATTGAATGTTCTAGCGCCTTTAAGTGTATCTCATTCCACAAGTGATATTTTAGGAACCTTAAATGTTTAGCCATCTTTATTAGTGAATTCCCTTAGTAAAACCACCCACTTGCTGTCAATATGTTAACACCGCCCCTAGCAACTTTAACTAATTTGAATAACATAAACAGTATATCACTGTGTCACATGACACACGCATTTAGGTAGACCTGATTGATATATTTATGTAATTACTTTTTGTTGTTCCGTGCTCTCTGTTTTCGTTTTAATTTCTCTAGTTGTAGATAGTTATCATTATTTCGATCTGGCACACGAATTGACCTTAATTACACCGTTCATAAATCAACAGGCTGTCCATTTAAGAAATATTAAAAATTCCCGGCTGATGCATTGGATCGCTGTAATATATGTACTACTTAAACAACTACTGAACTAGTATACTTAAAACTTTCTTTTATCACATGTTTGTTCTGCACGTCTAATATTACTATTTATATCAAATTGATCATGCCTGTAAACTGGCGTGAATTCTGTAATTATTATTTTTCAGAATATAAAATTATTATTATTATTATTAACTACTCATTTCTATTATCAATGTTCCAGGATATTCTTATCCATATAATATGTATTTACATTTTATGAGATACGTCAACTTTATTTTGATCTTTGCTACCTCATGCTGATATATGTCCACAAAACCTATTAACCAAGTTATCTTCCGTAAATATTTTCAATTTCATTTTTAATTCTAATTTTAAAATACTCCATGTTGTAGGTAATTGATGAGAAATAGGTGACATAAAATTAATTCATATTAATCTGTTCAAATGGTTGTTCCTACCTTTTCTCGAAGTTAGTTCTCACTTTTAAATGTAAACCTCTTTGAAATGAGACCCACAATATTTATTGTACATTACTATATTCTGTTGTCACTACTCAGCTCCAACGTTGATTTTATAACTACATATTAGTCGGTTTCTGTTCTGTTACATAAAGACTGTTAATTATGTAGGAGAAGTTCAAGAGTTCAATAAATAACACAATTTTACTTTACAAAAAAATAATAGAGTAAACAAAAAAGCAATGAACGGAAATACTAACAAATATTAAAGGAAATTACGTAAAAGTAAAGTCACGGAGAATTCATTACTAATTACATTTCTTCAGTAGTCTTCTCATTCAACCTGATGCTGATTTAGTTCAGAAAAAAAAGAATTAACATTAAACTTAATTTTTATAGCACATAAAGAGTATCTTTTAGCCTCCTTTCGTTATTTCGAATCTCATGAATATACAGTGTAATGAAATTGGTCAAACACTACTCAAATAAGTACATGCAAATCTCTACTAAGAAGAGTTGTAAAGATGATGAATATACTCAACAACTGATTGGGATTCACTTGGTTTCTCATTAATTTCCATGTAAGTGATCTGATCTTAACATGTGGCAACTGATGAGGTTTTAATAAGCTGAATATCACATACTGAAATTAAGAAAGTTGGAGATGATTCAGATACAAAATCTACTACAATAATAAACATTGATCAAAATATTTTAAACATATTTATTATTTTCTCCAAGTAATTAACAAAATACACAAAAATGGTAACTACGATGGATTGTAAATAAGTCAAGCAGGTCACACGTACACACAAAATTATGCCATAACTACTCATTTGTTTTTTATCTTGACACAAGGAGCAAACAACATCAAGAAACGAGGTACGTAAAACACTTTTATTTTATGTAAAAAAACAAATCGTAAGAAGACAATTCTAAAAATTATAAATGTTATTATTAGTATTAGATCAGAACAGGAGTAACAAGAAACTAGTGAACAGAATTCAGAAGCAAATTTTCATCTTTTTTCTTATTATGTAAAACCAAAAGTAAGGAATGAAAAACAATAGAAAACGAATAACAAAGGCAAGAGTGAAGGAGTACACATGAGGGCAGATAAATAGCAAAAACATCGTAACACATAGCACAATTATTTAAGAATAGCCAAAGAGAAGGAAGTAACAACAGAAGAGCATATGATGAAGTGCTGCAATGACTACTTCAAATGGTCATCTGCTGACATAAATAGTATGTGTTAAATGTGTATGAGTGTGTATGCGTAAATGTCGTCATGTTGAAAAGCTAAAATACGAAAACGGCAAACAAAAAAGATCAAGATGATGATCCGTGTAGACGAAACCGCGTGCTAATAATGGTTAGTTGACATTTATTTCATGCGAGATATAAAGAGCGGGAGAGAGAAAGAAAAGAAATACATCAAACAAAAGCTAGCCATTAAATGTGCTCGACAAATACGCAGCAGAATACCACCAAAGGAACGGTTATTATTCATTATATTTAGAAGAGATGATATGGATAAGGTACTAGTTGGGCGGTGACAGTGGCTATAACGGATGTGAGGATTGGTTGACTACCAACAAGAAAAGTCTTAGTTCTTCTATAATCTGAAATACAATAATAATAACGATCGTAAGTAAAGTACATACTGATAAAAGCAAGTAAAAGACAATGTAATTTAATCGATTCATTGTGAAAATTGTGCAAACAATCCGATAAATGAAGAACCTTGTCTAAAATAAACCAGTCCAAATCGCAATTATTTAGCAGCAGTACACAAAGACAAAATTAATGAAAGAAAAAAGCCAATGAAAAAAAGCGCAATAAATTGAAAAATGTAATTGTACGTTATTTAAATGTATGGATAACATCAATTATGTTGGTATGGAAATTAAAGCAATTCAAAATGAAATAGATAGATAATAATAATTGAGAGATTTTATCGAGATAATTAGGCGTAAAAATGTTTTATCGTTTATTAATCTTACATTATTAATGTTAACAAACCACCATTTGACAGCATTGTTTACACCTTACTATAGATCACTGTCAGGTAAGCCATATGATGAAGAAATGATAACAACCTGTTTTAAATGTTACAACTTTATTGTTATTGAGAATATTTCCAAATTTATGTTCATTTACTCTTAACTCACTGTGATACTTTTTTTCTATAAGCATGAACAGTGTGTTTCTCGTACTCGTTTGTTTCATTTCTTCATGATTGGTAGAATTAAAATTTGAATAAAATATTCTTCTCTGTTGTTCAGGATTAATTTCTAACGTTAAATTTAAACCTTCTGTAAATGATGCCCGAATTTACATAGCGGCAAAAGTTAAGATTGTTTTCCCATTATCTTAAGTGAGCCATAGGATGCATTGAAGTGTTTCTAATTTATCTGCTTCTAAACACTATGTTATGCCTGTACATAACATTTTATAGCTCCTTGTTTTTTCAGTCAGCCATATGCAACGTAAAGCCTGGCTCAAGTTGCCATACCCCATCAACTCAGAGCTAATCCCAGAGTAGTAAAGGTAGTGATAGTAATACCCCTTGTTGGGATAATGGGACTTAACAATTTTGCGTAAACGATTTACGTACATTTTTATTTTAACTTCAATCATTAACTTTGGATTTTTCTGATTAGCGTCCCAGGTAGTTAACCCAACAATTAACAACCTGCTATTAGGTATATTTCAAATTTTAAACAAAACTGTAGTGTAAGTGATAGGCGTTTTTTCGCTTCATCTATGTTTTTCAATCGGAAAATGGAACATCCAGTGAACATAACTCAGAAATGTGATAATAAATGGAGTGATCACTCAGCGGCCAATTCGTTTGACTTTAAGTCATTAAGTTGCATGTACGAGCCCTATTCTATCTACTTTGGCTTGAGCAACAGGATAGCATCACTAGAGGTTATAGTTTGCGTGTGGCTTGATAATAAGTATGCAAACTGTACCTGGTCAACCGGTGTTGATGATAACATTTATTTATTAATAACTTATTATTAGTGTTTTATTAGGGTGTAGTACAATCATTTTCTTCACCAAAAGATAAGGTCTTACTGTGGTGCATGCTACTTATGTCCGTGAACATAAGTAGTATGTGGCGCCAATCGAAAGTGGAAAACTTGGCAGCAGAAACCTAAGAAGATCAAGTTGAAGAGAATAGAATGGGAAGTGGAAATGAATTGTGAACAGGAAGAATCATACAGAATATGAAGGACAAATGATGGGAATTCGCAAATGAAGTATTCAGTGTATGGTTCTTATATTTTAACAAGATACTCTGTAATATTGTATTAAAATACATTGGTTGTCCCCACCTGTGTTTTCGCTCATAACACTACTAATGAATTTGTTTAGGATAAAAAAAACTGACCCAACAGAAGAAACCTTTATAACATATATATTCTAAAATCTTCCACTTAGAACTTCATGAATAACATTAGAGTGGTATTCTTAATACTACATCAATAGCTGTACCTTTCAATTTATTCGGCTGGTTTCCCAGGCACTTTTTAAATGTAAGAAATGAATATCCCAATTAGTATAACAAAGTCACCTTAAAATTAACCAATTAAAGGAGTCTTGTTTCCGTTATAATCAAGCGGATGTGAAACGGTCTATGTTCTAACAACTCAGCACCTATGGTCTTGACAGTAAATGAGGCATATCAGTTTAAAAAGATTATCATTCATTGTGAAAGCAACATCCGGACTGGAAAATCTCTGGATTTTCATTCTAAGTATTCAAAGCATTATACTTCCACAAACTTTTCATCTTATCAAAATAGAATACTATGCACCAAGGACGCAGCCGTTATTTAACAAACCTAGTCAGGAAATCAAGGATCACAACTAGTACTTTGATATGGGACTCTGACCCTTGTATTCTGACGGCTTAATGGAGCCATATTGGCTAAAATATCAATGTTTTAGGTCCTATCTTGCCAAGTATATAACTTAAATAGCAGCGAACTTAGAGTCTGATGGTGAAGTTGTACTGCTAATGGCGGAAGTACGCACTTCCTTTAAACAACCAGCATCCTCAAAGATACTGACTTATCACAACAAGAAGAAAATATTAGAAAAGATTAGTGTGAAAAAAATAATCCCTCCAAAAAGGATTTAAATTGCGGATGGTAAGGTATCGAAATTACGGAGCTAACACAACAAAAAATACGTTTCAAAGGTCTGAGGAACCAAGAATGGACAACCACCCACACACTTCTAGCAACAAGGCAATGTCCAACCAATGATATAATGAAAAAAAGATGAAAGAACTGATAACTAGTGTAGAATATCCATCGGAGAATCGAAACTTAAAGAGTAACAAAAATAACGACAATATTTTCGTGCTGATTCCAAAGAAGTTGATGAACTATCTTTAGTATGTTGAAATCAACAGCACGATTAAATATCAATCTTACATAACAAAGTAAATAACACAATAATGAACTTAATAACAACGTGCAGTGTCGAAAAAGCCATATTTTTCATGTAGAAACTGATATAAAAATATAGTTGCCTAGGCCATTATAGGTAGTGGTTTTCAAAATTGTGGAAAAACAATTAAAATAACGATCACTACTAGCATTTGGAAGCCATATTAGAGGTACGGTCGATCGACTGCTTAGACAAAGGTATATTCATTCTATATAACTGATGATAATCCATCTAAGAATTAGCGACTAGACTATTACAAGAAGGATACTGTGGTAGTTTTTGTCAGTTTTATCGACAGAATAATTCATCAGTTTAGACTGATCAGTGCGAAGTGTCGTACTTCCATAACAGATCCAAAAGTCCAGTAACGATATATGAAATTCACCACTTACTATAAAGGTTAGACCACATAAATATTATGACGTAAATTCACGCAGTCTTTTGGATTTGTAGCACGTTCAAATTGTAATGAAAGTAACAAACATAACGGCTATTAGCTCACAAACATTCATATCAGCCGATTTGGTAAATTCATGCATTTTAAAATCTATGGAATTCATAAGTCATGGTAAAATCAACTAACTAAATACGGGTTGAAACTTATCATTAAAAAAACTAACCTGGTGTTTGTAATCAAATAACAGGAAAAAATGGCTTAAGGGAACAATAGTGAAAATTATGCTTCAAATCAGAGGACCAATTGGATAAAATAAAGGAAATACGATTAATTGTTGAGAGATAATTCACTTTGTTAAGATGACTGTAACATAGAACGAAGATTAGCAGGATTAACAGGAGGAGGAGGTGGTGGTGGTGGAGGCAACGGCAAACTGAGATCGAGACGAGGTGATTCTGGCTTTAGATTGCTCAAGTGAGTTGAATGGCGCATAACAACGTGAGTTGTTTTACAAGGCTCATGTAACACAGAATTATGATCCAAAAGCGAGTTCCTTTTGGTTGATTTTGCTATAGTTGTTGACATTGGTGATTGGGTGGTAAAAGTAAATGAAACTGTAGAACTGACACATAAACTTGACGGAGTTAAAGGACCACATGATACTGAAGTGTTGTTGTTACCTGACAGATTAGGTAAGTCAATCAATTTTAAGTGCACTGGTAGAGATTGTTGGTCGAGGAGACCAAAAGAATTGCATACCTTTAAGGATAGGATAAAGTGTATATTTAAGTATGTAAAATAGGACACACTAAAAACAGAAAAAATTGACAAAATATCAAGCCTAACTAAATTTAGACTCATAGATAAAGGTTTGTAAAGAATTACGTCTAAATTACAAGCGGGACTACCACGATAAGTGATTAACTTTTAAACCGGATGTTCGAAAAATGTAAAAACTGACTTTTCTTCCAACTGCTTATCATAAGTATACTTTCAGCACACTTGTACGTTTACTAAGGATGAAAAGTATGAGAGTAAACCGTAACGTAGCAAGGATTTCATTTTGTAAGACAGGTAACAAGTGAGATAGTATTGCAATTAAAACAATGTATTGTTCACTATCCAAAAATTTGTTCTGAAATTCATAAATTCTTAGACAGTATTTTCGGCATTTCATCCTTCATTACCTGCTATGTATATCTGATAATCTTGTACCGATAAAGTGGTCTAATTCCCATAAAATCTCAACATGTCTAGTATTGCTTCTTCAAAACTATGGGTATAAGTTTTAGCATCGTCAATAAACCGAAGCTTCGAACTTTAAATGCAGCGAGGAGACGAACAATGCAATTTTAACGCAGTGTTTTCGATTAAGAAAAATTGTTTATTATGCATATGCCTATGGACGATTAGGCACACATTTGAATCTTAATGCAATGTACGGTATGTATTCCTTTAATCGTAGTGGGAAAAAAATTTAACCCGTATTAATTTGAGGCCAAAAATAGGGTTGCCAAGAAATGATTACACGTCTATCCCCACCTATGACGAAATGGATTGAGATGAAGTGTAATGTTTTGTCAAACTTCTTGAGTCATTGTAAAGGTTTATACCAATGATTTTCAAGTAGCTTTACCTTGCAGATTGTGGTCAAACAAAATGTACCTGCTCATTAAAACCTATATATTATTTGATGGATACACATCAGTAATTCTTGATGACAATGACCTTGTAGCGTGGCGTCGAGTTGAGATTAACTGTGAACACCGCTACCAGGAAACACGTGCCAGATAAATCAGAAGGCGAGGGTTGAACGTAACCAGATTTATTTCGTGAGTCACTACAACCTACCTGCTGTCCAGACACAACGACATAAGTATTATTATAGCCAAGACTTGAAAAAATACTGCGCATTCTTGTGGGGTAATGGTCGCAGACTTCGGAATCCTGTGGTCGATATATGGAGCCCTTTATACATGTTGATACTAAAAACCTTTTTACTATGTGTACAGTTTGCTTGTCCCAAACTCGAGTGTGGCATAGGAGCGGCTAGCCCCTACCTAAAAAAACAGAGCCGCTGGAAAATGTCCGAAGAACGACAACTGAAACGATCGTCTGAATCGTAAAGTTAAATTAAGACACCATATATATATGCTATATGGAAGAGATATGATAACAAATTTGTATCGAAACATGAAATGAAACATGTAATAAGTAAATTTTTACCAAAAATTTTTCAAAGGAACTTACATTATTATCTGATATTTCTGAGCTACCCATGTGTGCAATGTGTCGAAAGTTTATTGGATTACCTATGGAATACCGGTCAATTTTTATTCGTCTCTAAAACCCTGAAAATGAGTCAAAGAGGATCTTACAGTCGCTGGAGCGTTTGGAATGCAACAAAGCATCTTAATCTTTAAAGTACCGACCAATCGATTTATAAAAAACGCTAGTACTACATTGACGATTTACAAGCATAGCGCGTGTGGGTTGTAGGTCAAACACTTAGTGAAGTTAAAGATGTTTCGATACATAGCACTAAGTTTACTGATATTCTGTTTAGTTTCCCATGAATCATCTTTAACTACAATATAGGTCATTAAGATGTTTGTTATTTAAAATTCTAACAAGCTGTACTTTTACCATTATGCTTTTGTTGAAGCAGTGTCGCCGAACCCTGAAGAAACCAACCGCCATCTAGGTCACTGTATTATTAATTCTTATAACTTGTAGTATGCATTTGGAATTCTCCTCATGGCGATTCAACCACAAAATACAAGTGCTATAAGTCTAGTAGTATAAGCAAGTTGACTAATACCCTTCACAGTCCCGAATAAACCCAACGCTACAGCATCTGACGACACAGATACCACACCTCCCAATGTATTTAAATGAGTTAAGGTAGACAGAACAGACTGTTGATTCGAAACAGAACTATGTGGATCGAAAGGAAACAGTACGCATTGAGTAGAGCTGTAAAAAAAGACAAATTCACTTAGGTGTTTAGCATCTCAAGCAATTTATGGAATCTGTAAAAAAAAATAGCTCAGTGACAAATATAAACCCATTGTTAGTTGAATCGTATTAACTGCCAAATCCAATTTGAACCACGTATTTTTTAGAATCATATACCACAATACTATCAAAAAGCAGCTGCGAAATGTTGGCAAGCTAATCATACTAACTTACTTAGACCAGTTACCCCACGTGGAGGAGCACAGATTGCTCACCATCATTCTACATCGAACTCTATCCTGGGCTATTCTTTCTAGCTGTTTCCAAGTGCCATTCATTCTTTTGGTGTCTACTTCCGATTCTCGGCGCAGTGCGTTCTTTGGTCTGTCTCTTTTTATTTTCCCTTCACGATTCCAAGTTGGAGCTTGCATCGTGATGCAGTTTGGTAATTTCCACCATGCATCTTCTGTCCACTTCCAGCGTCTTTTATTAATTAACTTGAAGACGCCACATGTATTTGCAGTTTGACAACAATTTAACCGGTAACATCTTCTATAATCGAATCGTGTCCACCCAGTGAAATAAAAAGTCAGAAGCTATGAGGTTTGCAGATACATTCGATAGGTTATCAATATATCGGGAAGTGACTGATCTAAACGGTCTAGTGGTTGTAGGAAAAATTGAGCGCAATTTCATCACTCTTGATCTGGTGCGGATGCATGACCGAGCGCCTTCGGCTGATTGAGTCCAATAAAACTAATGTGTCCAGTATCCAATGTCGAAGACTTACAGAGTTATTGATTTCTGGGATCTATTTTCCATTACAAACTATTCAGCTGTGAGTTGGTTTGTTCTTTCAAACAGTAGGCTGTTGCTGATAGCATGCGGCAAACGGACATTCAGTATATTGCGTAGTCAATTGTTTATAAATATTTATACTTTTTGATGATGGTTGTAGTAGTTCTCCAAGTTTCAGCGCCGTACAGTAGAACTGTCCTGATATTCGTACTGAAAATTCTGACTTCGATACTGGCTGACTGTTGTTTTGAATTTTATATATATTCGATTGCAAAAATGCCGCCCTTGCTTTGTCAATCCTTGCCTTTACGTTCGCATCAAATCCTACTTGTTCATCGATTATCCTGACCCGTAAGTGAAAGTTATCACCTCTTTTAGAGCTTGTCCATCACGTGTGATTGGGTTGGTGTTCACTGTGTTATATCTGAAGATGTTGCTTTTCCCTTGTGTATATTGATGCCTACTGATGCAGAGGTTGCTGCTACACTAGCTGTCTTCATCTGCATTTGTCGCTGTACATAAAAGCTATTCACAGTACGTAGATATTTAATACTGATAATAGATGTGTTCAGTATATTTGTTGTGTGCGGTTTGAAATTCAAACCGCTACCATCTTAGTTCTTGTTTATTATTAAATTAAATCGTAATAAGGCTGTTCATCCTCAAGTTTACTGGTATGCATAATCAAACATTTTAATGAATTTTATAAATGTAATAATAGACGCGCTCACAGGACTCATATGTTATGTCCAAAGTTTACTCTATTCAGTTGTTGAAGCACGTTGATTGATCTACTCGTAACTTACGACCCAGATAACATGAGAATCGAATTCCATTTCAGGAACCGAAGTTTATTCATAAATTACAGTTAGTCAACCCCGATATATTGCTTTCATTACAATTACACAACAAACCCTCAGTTTTTATGTTTCTGGAGGAAAAATTCCAAAATAGCAAGACGAACACTATGAAAACAAAATGTCTGAGGTCAAGGGTACAAGCAAACAAGTTCAAAATTTGAATGAAACGCATTTAACCAAAACAGTGAAGTTATTAACACTCAATATAACAGTTATTAATCAGTCAAATACTTTCAGTGATTCTTATAACGCTCAAATGTCATCATAAATCACTTGCTTCATCTTTGAATATCTATGATGAGAAAATGCAATGCCTACCGACTGTGAAAATTATGATAATATGAAAAGGACGCAGGCGAATCAAAAACGATGTTTTGTAGCATCTGAAGAATGTGATTCAATGAGATGTTCTTTATATTTGTCAATAACTCTAAAACTTAAATCTGAGTGTAAGCAAATGCAAGCACCTAAACGTATGACACCGTGAAATCGAATTTAAAAGTCGTTAGGGTTAACATGGAATCCTTCAAAAATAGATGAATTAACGTAGTCATGGAATTCTTCCGATTGACAATCTTATCACCACCGTAATTGCAAGGCTCTTTCCCACAACTCTTATGACTTTTAGGCCACTTACTATTGCCATGGAAGAACTAAAACTGGATGGAAATTGTTCGTAAGCAGTCTTATAACACTGGATGTTCCTGAGTATCGGTAACTTTTTAACGGAAGTATTCCAAACTCCGAATTGTCAAAACACTCTTACCTCTTTTAAGACAAAGCATTTTGTGAGTAAAACTTGCTGTTATCTTCGTTTCGTCTCCTTTATTCCAGTTCAGCTAATGCAGGTTATTGATAAGTGCAGTCATTCTCGTTGAACCGTTGTTGATGTCAGAAAGACTGGGACTAAAACCCAACTTATCCTCTTGGGTTAATCTTCGGTTACTGAGATTGTTTATGCTTTGCAGATATATATTTTATGGGACGGAACTTTAGATTCAATCAATGATACCTCATTTACAGACCACCTTGTTTTGCTTGAATTAAACCTATTATTTCCCGAAGTGGATATATCAATCAAAACGATTCTAGGTAGTGTAAACATCGCTCACCACAGAACTGTTACTCACTTGGCCAATTTTCCCACCGACACGAAAACAAAACGCTAATATATAGATGCTTATATTTATAAAATATGAATTGTTCGCATACCTTTCGAAAAGAATATAATAAAGCACGAGAATTTTGATTGTCAAATAAAAATATGAAGTAAAACAGATAAGTTAACATAAATGTTGTTATGAATGCAATAAATTTGTAAAGAAAAATGCAAATAAAGATAGTTTGATAGATACATGATTATACCTGTTTGTTCACATCATAACATGCATTGACTTGACGTTTATCGTTTAGAAAACACATTATTAGTAATAGTTAATTGAAATAAAGTCTAATCATTGCAAAACAACAAATCGTTACAGATTGAGGTCATAAATAATTTATACCTACCTACTAATAAATGGTATTTTGATAATAACATTAATTATTAATACTAGTGAAAATTTTTGATAGATAATAATTAATAATATACTCATATAGATTCTTTGTCACTCGGATAATGGAAAAGGAATAAAAACGACAGCATTGATAAAATCAAAATATTTAGTACAAAACGAAAACAGTGGCAACGACGAGAACGAAGAGAAAACACGAGGACTAGAAAAAAACAGTAGTATCAGCAGCGAAAACAACAGTAACAATGAAGATAATGAAAATTATCCGATGATGTAAATGCAAATGAGGATCGTCAAAAATACCTGATTTTATAACATCAAAGGAATTATTCTGAAATGCACAAATACCGTAAATAGTAAACGGATACTATATTCAATTGATTTGGCTTAGCAATAGTGAAGAAATATAATTCCAATAGGGGACAAAATAAACCTATTATTTCACCAGTTCAAGAATATAATTTTTAAGAAATTAGAAAAGTCCTTTCTTTTTCTTTTCAGTTTTTACACGTTCTTTAATTACCTCATTCATAACTCGTTCACCAAGGCCTAGTGCTGGACCATTTGTCCCAATCTCTGCACCAATATCCCATTCACGCCAATTTTCTTCCCAATTTTGACGTTCTAATTCAAATGCACGTCGAGCAGCTTCTTGTTCTAATTCTTGGGCTTTTAATTGTTCTCTCATTTGCTCTACACGTCGCATTAAATCAGATTCTAGTTCACGAAGTTTCTGATTTTTTTCTTCAACCTATTGAAGATACGTGTGATAACAATGAATTTAAATGTACACAATATTGTAGAATGAAATTAAAACCAAATATTAAAAGTGGAGATTATCACAAAAAGTTAGGTTGTATTGTTAGAATCATTACACAGCAAAACGTTAGTAACTACCTCTAACTGTCAACAAAAAATGAAAATAAAGAATATACAGAGAAGGGTTTTTGAATAGTTCACAACATTAGCAAATAAATGTATACAGTTTTTAAACCATAAGTAAAAAGATTATTTTAGTACAGAAGTGTTAGCGTGTAGTATAGAATAATGAGCAATAAATACACTTACCATACAAACCCCTCAACTGTACTGCATGAACATTAAAGTCTGTTTAATATACAAAACGTTTTTACGCCTAATCATCCTAAAGAAATCAGTTATAGAATATAGATAAAAAACATTTACGTAACAGAAGTTGAAGTTGTATGATACGGAAAATGGGACGATTTGATTGACAGAAATCAAGATAAACGAAACCACTGCTTGATCCTGATCATAATA